GAGAAATGGAACCTTCTCCAAACCCCCAGGAGGCTTCAGCTCAGCTTCCCAAGGCCTCAACTCAGTCTACAGCATCCTCTGAGCCATTGAAATTTTTTTTTAAATATATTTTATTGATTTTTTACAGAGAGGAAGGGAGAGAGATAGTCAGAAACATCGATGAGAGAGAAACATCGACCAGCTGCCTCCTGCACATCTCCTACTGGGGATGTGCCCGCAACCCAGGTACATGCCCTTGACCGGAATCGAACCCAGGAGCTTTCAGTCCGCAGGCCGATGCTCTATCCACTGAGCCAAACCGGTTTTGGCACCATTGAAATTTTTGTTAGTCCACTGGGGAGTTCCAGATAAGCATCCACCCTAGCCTCAATCTTTAATCCAGCCAAGAGCTCAGCTCAGCCGTAGTTGCCTCTTGCTGGTGTACAACCTTCTCCAGTCCAGCAGAGGATCGAGCTCAGTCTCCACAATCCTCTATGGATGTTGTAGCTCAGCCTTCAGTACATCATGAGGTGACAGTTTCACCTCTAGGTTCAGGTGAAGCTCAGCATCCTGTGCCTGTCACTGTTAATTTCAGAGCCCCCTAAGAAGATTGAACCATCTACAACTGAGAAGGCGGTCTCAGCTCATCCTCCCAAAGTCCACTGAAGAGGTCATACTTCCACCCCAGCTCCGCCTACTTCAGAGGTTGACGCTACTGTATTGCAGTTGACTGCAGCTGCCCCAAAGCACCCTGAGGGGACACTGTCACCTCCAGGGTCTGTGCATGCTCAGCAGCCAAGCTTTCGATGTTTGGACTTGGAGCTAACTATCCCTCCCGAGTGCTTTACTTCCAAATGAGTACTGTTCACGAGTGTGTCACAGCTGGTGCATTAGGTTTCAAATGCTCTTTACCACGAGGTTCAAACTGGCTTTGTAATGCATTAGGTTTCAGTTTTCTTATAGGGCAATTATAGGTATATTTTCATTTTGTTTGTTTTTGCAAGTTTATAAAAAGAGTATAAATGATGCTGTTTTATGTAAGGTTTTTTTGGAACATGGGAGTTTTGGGATCCATCACTGGAAGCTGCTACCAAGCCCTTCTGATGCATGGGAGGCTCTTGTATTCTTCGACTGCCCAACTCTAACTTGCTCTGAAGCTCATGGTTTTCTATCCACCAAACACTCTGGTGCTTTTAAGTATTTTTCTATATATTAGCCTTATTGGCAACTACTTGATAACTTCCAGAGTGTGCTTTCATGCCCAGATAGCTTGAATACAGTTTCTGTCAGTGATCTGAGGTACATCATAAATAATGATGCTGTGCTACTTACATAAAGACAGTGCTGCTTATTTTCCAAAACAACGTTTTGACCAATTATATTACTTCCTTCTGCCCAACAGTGGGCAGAACAGGCATTTTAATCTCCTTTTAAGGTGAGTGAAAACAAGATCAGAAAGGGCTAAGAGCTCTCGCCTGGTGTCCAGGTCTCCAGCTCCCAGTTTGGGGCTCTCCGCAAGTCCATGCGCCTCCTTTCTCAGGATCCTTATCTCCCTCTCTGACCCTCACCGCCAGCAGCAATATTTTTAGTTCTTCTGGAAAAGAAACACAGCTGCACAATGGTACACTTGACCTTCACGTAGTCAGAAGCTTTTGGATGGTTCCCCAAGTGAAGCTGAAATGAAAGCAAACTAGGCCACTGACAAAAGTTGCTTTCTCCCTCCTGCATTTTGGGAGGGTGGGCGTGTGGGGGGGGCGCCTGGGGGCGGAATTGGGTGGAAGGAGAGGCTCAACTGGGGCCCCACTCGGATCGTGTTCAGCCGCCATCTCGTTTGTTCCCGCTCCCTTGGTGACTCTGAACTATAGCGGTCACTGGCCTGGAGCGCAGTCACGTGAGCAGCGCCAGTGACGAGCCTGGTCCCGAGCAAGGCCGCGCGGCGACCGCTAGGGGGAGCGCGGGAGCCAGGTCTGTCGGGGAACTGGGGCGCTCAGCGCGGGCGCGCTGGACTACAGATTAGAGGGGCGCTCCCCCTAGCGAAGGGCCCCCCACCAAAAGCCTCGGAAGACGGAGACGGCGATCTCCGCGGAGCTCACGCTGGAGCCAACTCAGCAGGGCCTCCCCGTATCTCCCTTCCCAGGCTCTGAGAGGCGGACAGGGGAGCCCCCAGATGTATCACCCACCCGCCTCCTTGGGGGAACTGACGCTGAAAGAGCCAGTGTATCACGGAGCAGGGCTGGGGTAGCTTTCTCCCTCCTGCATTTTGGGAGGGTGGGCGTGTGTGTGGGGGGGCGCCTGGGGGCGGAATTGGGTGGAAGGAGAGGCTCAACTGGGGCCCCACTCGGATCGTGTTCAGCCGCCATCTCGTTTGTTCCCGCTCCCTTGGTGACTCTGAACTATAGCGGTCACTGGCCTGGAGCGCAGTCACGTGAGCAGCGCCAGTGACGAGCCTGGTCCCGAGCAAGGCCGCGCGGCGACCGCTAGGGGGAGCGCGGGAGCCAGGTCTGTCGGGGAACTGGGGCGCTCAGCGCGGGCGCGCTGGACTACAGATTAGAGGGGCGCTCCCCCTAGCGAAGGGCCCCCCACCAAAAGCCTCGGAAGACGGAGACGGCGATCTCCGCGGAGCTCACGCTGGAGCCAACTCAGCAGGGCCTCCCCGTATCTCCCTTCCCAGGCTCTGAGAGGCGGACAGGGGAGCCCCCAGATGTATCACCCACCCGCCTCCTTGGGGGAACTGACGCTGAAAGAGCCAGTGTATCACGGAGCAGGGCTGGGGTAGCTTTCCTTTAGAAAAAGAGAAAGATTTTTATCATACAGATTACCTCGTCTTTCTATAGGGGCCCATGTGACAGATTACTTTACAGATGACCAGAAGATTCCATACTGGTGGTTAAGATTATGTTTCTGGGAGAGGCCGAAACTCCAGTTAGATTCGGCATTAAATCTAGGTTTGTTTCATGCAATAAACATTCTTGAAATATAAATGTTTATTGCATGTAACATTATTACATTTAAAATAGTTTTTCTTGAAATGTTCATGTTTAATGCATGTAACATTATACTTAAAATCATTTTTCTTGAAAAAAAGTCTAGGTTTATCATGGGCTTTTAGCATGAATGATGCCATTTTGGGCCTGTGGTTTTTGTCTTTAACACTTCCTGTCTACTACACCTAATTCA